ACATTGCTCTATCAACCATAGGTCAGTGCTCCATGGCAGGGTGATTGCTCCAAGCTGTGACTCAGGAAACCACTCAGGATGTGTGAGTCAAAAGAGAAAGAGGGACTCTCAGGAAGCCCCATGTTTCATTTATGTGAACATAAGCAGCCCCACCTTTTTCCTACCTTCCTGCCCTGCCCCACAAGAGATTGGCCTAAGCATGATTGGTTGGTCTCTGTACTCACTAGAATGGGAGACAATATTAAAACATGATTGTTAGAGTTTTTACTACTATTATCATTTATTGAATGCTTACTATGTACCAGGCCCTAGGCTGAGTGCTTTACATATTTAGCTCATTGAATTCTCATAACAAACCTAGGAAGTAGACACTATCATCACTCCTCTTTTATACACAGGGAAACTGAAGCCAAGAGACTTCAGCACCAGGTTGGATTTGAATTTGAGTGTGGTTGACTGCACATTCCATAATGCTAACACTGGGAAGTACTCATCTGAGAAAATACCAACTTCCCTGGCATGTGCTCTAAAACCCTGAGCACCACCCTGAAGGGGCAGGTTCAAGGTCCTTCCTGGTGAAGAGGAAGAGAGAGATGAGGGCCTATTGGTAAGAGGCAAAGGGGCTGAAACCGACTAAGGCAGTACCTTGTGCATCCACACCCAGGGGAAGGCCAGGGAGGTGAGACTGGCTGAACCCATGTTGCTGAGTTTGCACTTCACTGTAAGTTACCAGCAGATGTGTTGGCAATCAGAAGTCATGGTGGAAGTCATCCTTAATGGGAGGGGCCATTCCTATTGCTCCCAAGGCCTTAAGCCTATTATCAAAGTGCCAGTCTGTCCACTTCCCAACATCCTTTCTGGTATTATGACTCTCAGTAGGAAGTCATTCACCTCTATTCTGTAACGGATCCCCGTGCCACATCTAATCGTCACAGTGACAAGTTATGGGAATGGGTGGGAAGCAGAACGTTTGCAGAGTTTCCCCACTGCAGTGGCTGGGGGACCTTACAGCTCTTTCCTTAGATATACAAAGAAACAGAGCGTGGCGGGATGAGGCAGCATTGCTTGTGCCAGCTGAATTTCAAAGGTGGCAGCACAGTGACTGTTGTTCACTGTGTTTTAGCAAGCTTATTTTTTTGAGTCTGTTTGCTCTGTTGGCATTGAAGCATACAATATAGCTGCGGAGTGGTGCTGAATTAACAACTCTGTTCCTGGATTCTTCCAAAGCTTTCATCCACAAGCATACTTAAGCCACTTTGGTCCATGGATTGGCTCATGGAAGAACTCATGTATTCATTCATTTATTCATTTAATCAACAAAAATGATTAGAGATCTACCAGGTGCTGAGCGCTATGCTAGGTCCCTGGAGATACAATGAAGAGCAAGGCAGGCATGGTCACTGCCCTCATGGAGCTGACAGACTAGAGGGAAAGATAGACAGTGAAGGTCCTGAAGCAAAGTGTGATGAGGATCTCTCCTTTTTATCTAAGTCAGACTCAAGTGTCTTTACATCCAGTCTCATAGTAATTCCTGGGAAAATGTTTTCTTCCAAATAAACCTTGAGTGCTTTCCAATAATCCATCCTTACAAATATGTTCCACCTAGTTCAACATGTCCTTAATGAGCCTTCTCCATTCTAGAAGCTGTGCCCAGCACTGGAGATGCAAGGAGGAATGAGCTGTTGTCACTGCCCACCCATGGGGGAGACAACACATAACCCAATCGTTTTAATATTATTTGGCAGTGCTAGTCATTCATTCAACAAATATTCCCTGAGTACCCACTCTGTGCCAGGTTTTTTTCTAAATCTTTGATATACAACCATAAGCAAAACAGACAGAGCCCCTGCCTTTGTGGAGCTTATGTTTTACTAGGAAAGTGGGGACTGCAGAGAGGAGATTGCTGTTGTATATAGGTGGTTAGGCAGGAGTTCCTTGAGGAGGTGATTTTGGATAGAGAGTTGAAGTTGGTGAAGGAGGAAGCTATGTAGACGTAGGAGGAAAGAGAGTTCCAGATAGAGGGTTACCAGTGTATAGAAGGAGAAGAGTGCAAAGCCAAAGAGGGAGAGCGTCTGGTGTTTTTGAAGAACAGTGAGAAGGCCAGTTACTGGGCCAAAGCGGGTAAGCAGGACAACGGGAAGAGATGAGACCAGAGGAACAGCAGGGGACAGATGGCCAAAGCCCTGATAGGCCTTTGTCAGGACAGTGGGTTTTACTCTGGTGAGATGGGGAGTCACGGCAGGGTTTCAAGAAGTGGAGTTAACATGATCTGATGTATCCTTGAAGAGGATCAGCCTGGCTGCTGGGAAGGGATAAATTGTAAGGCGCAAGAGCAGAAGCATGAAGACCAATTCAGAGGGCGTTTCAATACCCAGAGGGGAAATAAAGGTGGTCTGGACCAGAAAAGTAAATGGTTAAGATGAGAAGTGTAGAATTCTGGATGTCTTTGAAAGATAGAGGCAAGAGGATTTATTGATGAATTGACTATGAAGAAAGGAAAAAAGTAGGGGAGGAGATAAGGGTGACTGGGGTTTTTGCCCTGAGCAGCTAGAAACATAGTTATGGTCTATGAGATGAGCACGATGTTAGATTAGCTCATTGTTTAATAGTATTTCCTCCCTCCTTCCCCGTCTTCATGAGACTAGTGTACTTCCTTCTCCATTGATGTTGGGCTGGTCATGGGACTTGCTTTAGCCTATGAAGTGTCAGTGTTTGACCTCTAAACCTAGGTCTTAAGAGGCATCATGTATTTTCCCTCAGCCCTCTGACTTTTGCCAAGAGAAGAATGGGCCCTATGTCACCACTACCTATCCACCCTGGGCCCCAGAATGAGATATGTAGAGCAGCCTCCTCCCCTGACCCATAGACTTGTGAACATAACAATAAATGTGGACATGTAGACTATTGAGTTTTGGGGTGGTTTGTTACATGACATTATTCTGACAATAACTGACTGATAAAGGGGCAGAGGTAGGCTCAATTCTTTGGGACATCAACATCAAAGATAAGCTCTTAGCCCTGTGTAGATATTCAGAGAAGTTACCCTGGAGGAAATAAGTCATAGCTGAGTCTTGAAGGATAAATCAGAGCTACCCAGTACAAGAGGTGGAGGAAGGGCATTCCAAGCTGGGAAATAGCATAAGCAAAGTCTAGAGGCACAAGAAACATGCCATATAAATATACAGGGAACTATGCAAGTAGAGGCAGAGGGTGGCGGAGGATGAGTCTAGGGAAGCAGACAGGAGCTGAGTCATGGAGGGTTTCGTATTCCCTGATAAGGAGCTTGCACTTTATTCTCACAGGCAGTGGGGAACTGCCAGAACTTTCTAAGTGGGAGAATGGCATGGTCTGAGTTGCACCCTCGTAGGATACTTGCGGCCCTGTGCAGAGAGCAGCCTCAGTGTTGGGGAATGTTCTAGCCTGGAGGTGGGATCGGGGTGGGAGCTATTGTAACCATCTGATCAAGTACAGTGGTGGTAAGGATGCAGGGGTGGAAATGGATTGGGGAAACATTTAAGTTTTAATACCAGCAGGATTTAAAGTATAGAGAGAAAGTGAGAGCTCAATATGTAGCATGCTTGGGTTATCAAACACTGGAAGGAAATTCCCTAACATGTTCACATTTGATGGAATTACAGATGATTTTTCTTTTCTTCTTATACACAAATTCATTTTCTGCATTAATTCTGCATTACCAATATAATAAGAAAAATTTTTGAGTGTATTATAGTGTTTAAACTTGCCTGTTTTCCCTTGGATCAAGTTTGCTGAACCCTTAAATCTCAATGTTGGAGAGGAGTCTCCCTCCTCGGTGCTGGCTTGGCTAGGGCTGCAATCTTGATATCTAATAACTTTGGTTTTTTTACTATCAAATCAAAAGAAGATTCAAAAAGAGATTCAGAGCAAATGTGACCTATCCATCTTATTTGTACTAACTATATGTGAAAACATTTCAGATAAACACTGATTTAGAATTGGCATTAACAGATATCAGACCCTTCCAGAGGATTATGTCATGACTCACCTGATTATAGATTCAGAATAGTAAATGTTCATGAGACTTGTATTGAAGAGTAATTATAGCACAGTGTATGTATAGAAGTAATTTTTCAAAGTTTGCTTGTGATTGCTGAAAATGCTATTGATTAAGACGGGCTAATAACTAGATGGCAAAGAAGGAATTAAAAAATGTAGAGCCTTGCTCATTATAAAACAAAAACTAAAAGCCAAGTTAGGCAAATCAGCACTTGTGATTTTTCGGATCAAAGGTGCGTACTCCGTTTTTCTCACTTTGGTTCCTCTGTCAATTGTGTTCCCGAGTCTGGACTGATGCCCCTCTTTGCTAGCTCTAAGAACCCCTACCCTTTCTCAAGACCAGCTGGAAGGGAACTCCAGGATGTCTTTCCTGATTTCCCTGGGGAACCACTGTGTCATGCCCGGGCGCTCACTGTCTTTTATTCTTTGAGTCCATAGCCCTGTCAAAGTGCTCTCTGTGTTTTTGACATTTTCATACTTAACTAATCAACTTTGTTCATTTGTATTTTCCAGTCCAGGGCATACCGCATTACACATTAATAAATGTTGTATAAAATGACTTAATATATATACTCTGATTCAAGAATTTTATTTATAGGAAGCTGAGGAGCAAATAAGCGCTGGTGTGTGGCTACCAGGAAATTGATCTAGGCACAGCAAGAGGGGTATGCTTGGCTCTAAGAGATGGTCTTGGAGCCAAAGCTGATTGTTAAAGGCTCATTGTCTTGTGCATAGACAACTGCAGTCACTTTCTAAAAGTCCCAGAAGACATGGGTAAAAGATGAGGAAGTGATTGCGTTTAAATAAGTTCAAATCTAATCAGGAAAATCAGATTCCACTTTTTTGCTTTAAACTGATTTATCCAATGAATGACGGGATAATACTTGGAAATAGGACTTATACCTATTTTGTAAATATGAAAAAAGGAGACTGAGGCTTTGACACGATTTCATTTATCTCCATAGCTTCCATTGTCACCTCTGCTGGTGATTCCCAGGTTTTTACCTCCAACCCCAGCTGTATTCTAAGGAGCTGACTGGAATATTCAACTGTCAAGTGGTCATCTACACTGGTAAGCTCCGCAGACATTTCAAACTCTGCATGCTCCACACTAAACATGTCTTCCGTCTAACAAGAAAACCTGATCTGCTTTCTGTTTCAGGAAATAGAGGTCCTGTCCACTCAGCCTCCTGAGCTAGAAACCCTGGGTTCCTCTTTGTCTTTGCCAATTATTTACCAAGATCTGTTGATTGTGATCTGAAGTATCTCTTATGTCTGACCCCTCCCCCTCATATTCATAGTCATCATCTTAATTCAAGTCCTTATAATTTGGTGTCTAGACTTTTGAACCAGCCTCCTGATTGGTCTGTTTCCAACAACACTTCCTTCTTCTACCCAGATGCCAAACCATCATCCCCTTCATTACAAAGCCACAAGATAAAATCCAAGCATCTTTATTGTCATACCTCAACATACCTCACCAATATCAGCCTCCTTCCCATAAACCCAACTCCCCTCCAGCCACACCTGTCCACTAAGTACACTGGGCCGTCATGCCTCTGCACGTGCCCATTCCTCTGCTTTTCTGCCTTTCTTTCTCTTCTCCATTTGCCTAACTCCTACACATCCGTCAAGAACCACTTCAAAATCTCTCTTCCTGGAAGCCTTCTCTCACACTGCTAGGAAGTTCGTTGCTCTCTCACAGCATTTTGCTCCTTCTCTACCACATTACAATTATCCCTTAACATTCCAGTCTCTCCCATTGCTTCGAGGACAGTCTGGGTCTCACCTACACTTGTAGCCCTAGTACCTAGTACAGTATCTGGAACACAGAGGGAAGAGTGACCTTTGCTGGTAAATCATTTAACCACTCTCAATCCGTTTCCTCATCTGTAAAATGTGAATAATAATCTCTTCTTAAATCTCAACTTAGCTGTTGCTTGTGACAAAGTCTCTGTAGAAATGAGAAGCATAAAGGGCTAGGGAAGCGGGGAGCCATTAGTCCAAGCACCTGGCTTTATGAGTGAGGAGGAGGAACTGCAGAGCAGTAAAGTGGCTGAGCCGAGGTCTCACAGAAGTCCACGGTAGAGCCTGGGTCTCCTCACTCCATGCCTTTTTTTTCCGCCTCTCTGTTTGTGGAGCCTCACCTGTCGAGGCCCATCCTAGTATTGCCTCAAAGGATTTTCTTTTATGATGTCATATCACATGTGACATAGGCCATGTCCTGGGCAGAGTGTGACCACAAAGCTCCAAGCTACTTGGTTCCTTCACGTGATCTCCAAAATCTGACTACTGTGAGAGCACGCCTCAAATATCTGCTTTAGGTGAAGAAAGGATCCAACTCTGTGTGTAAAATCTGGTTTCTAAATTTGTGATCTTAGAGGAGATACCATTTAGGGAAAGAGACTCTTGTCCCTAATTTTTTCAGCTAAATTAAAACATTTTTTCCTTTTCCTGCACATTTCCTAGAACTCATCTCCATGTTTATGTTAAAATATCAGTTTTAAGCACATAAAACATCAGGTTTCTGATGTGCTGTGGGAGGGTGTTGGGTGAATCCTTTGGAGTATAAACTTTAAGCAAAATTAATAATCACCAGATAAGAGAAATCGTCATCAGAAAGATCCCTGGGCCACTGTTTTTAAAGAACATGTAAGAGAAGCTGGGGAGAGCTGTTAACTCAACGGCAGAGCCCGGGCCTTCATCATGCAAAAGGCCAGCAGCTGCATGCTACTGCTTCCAAGAATGCGAACATGAGCTCTGACCCCCCAGGTCCAAGACACTGTGTTGTTAGTCAGTGTGAAGTGTGTTTATTTCCAGGATGTGTGAGAGAAGCAGTGCTTAGCATATCAGTGTGGCTCTTCTGAATTTTCCAAGCATTTATCCATCAGAGATTGACAAGCCTGCTCTGGAGCCCAGAAAAACAGGTCATTGTTATTAATTTCGCACCGTGGATATGGGAGATGGAGATAATCATAGTCATATGAAAGATAATCATGCTACTGAGTATTTGGGGAGCCTTTTCTGTTTGAGAATTGGTAATCTTTAGAAAATTTTAGCTTCAGTCATTCTTACATCACTGTAATTTCAGGACTAGGTATACACCTTTAGTTGTCTTCATTTTCCTGGATCTTATACCATACTGCTTCTATCGTGACCAGACCCTGTACCCCTAATTCCTCCAGACCTCCTGGGGTTGGCAAAAAAGTGTAGACGGTACCACACCACCTGATCTGTTTTCTTGAGAGCCAAGGGAAAAAAAACATGGCCTCCTTTCGCTCAGGTGGTACCTGTTTTGAAAGGAAGCCTGTGACAGGATATTCAGAGTGGTTATTGCAGGGTGTCTTATCCCTCCACAGCATTTGAGTGTATAACACGTACAGTACGTACTGATCACATAGTTTATAAATGGAAAAGAGGAGAGAGAGAGACACTTGGTTCATCAATGCCAAGTGCGATTTCTCAATGAAGGAGACTTTTTTTTTTCATTCTGCAATCAAATGCAGTTCTCTCAATTTTCTTGATTGGTATTAAATGGAACTCTACCTTGGATCCGGGAGCTGCAGTGGTATTTGCCAGCTTCTTATAATTCATGGGCTTGAAGGGTAGCAGAATATGCCACCCCAAAATATGCTACTTTAGCATAAGGATTATTTTGAGCTGAAGGCAATTAAGAAGCAGATACGAGAAAAGCTGTCTGCCCTCCCCCTATGTGGCTAAAAGTAGGATATAAATTTGTAGAAGGTGTCCTCCCTTCCCTTTCTACCAGGAACGGCAGAAGTTGATCAGAGAGATGACTGAGACCCTTATCAGCCCAGAGGCAGCACCAGAGGAATCTATATAACAAACCCTGCTCAAACTCGCCCTCACCTACGATTAGTTTCCCCATATATTTACCTTCCCACAATTTGATGCCCCTAGGAAGCTCCAAGTCCTTTTCCTTGTCTCGTCACTTCTGTAAAAATTTACTGCTCTTTTGTTAAGATGCTGTATAAACACAAGTCCTAACCACCCCTTTGACTTACTCATCTCTGAGTGCTCCCATCTGTTTGCAAGAGGCGCATGTTAATAAACTTCTATTTGTTTTTTTCTTGTTAATCTGTCCTTTGTCAGTCTGGTTTACAGGATTCTAGCTGAGGAACCTACGAGGGTAAAGGGAAAAAGATTTGTTTCTTTTCCTACAGCCTAATGGAAGAAGAGCAGGACCATAACTTTTTACCATTATATAGCCTAAAACCCAAACACTAAAATGATTCAAAGCCTGAAAAAAGAGCCTTTTAAAAAAAATTTAAAAATTGACTGTGGCTTTTGGCTGATCCTTCCTAAAAGCTTATGGCTTAAATATATGTATCTGGGGATTGATGGGCAAATGGGTAATCACTTCCACTGGCAGCCACCTTCATTCTGCTTAATTGCATGTGTTCCCTTGGTTGATATTTTCAGATAGGAGTCTTTGACTATGCAAATGGATCAAATCTTGGTACTTAACTAGAAGGGCTAGAGGAATGTTGCTATTAAGAAGGTGAAAGAATTTCTTCATTATACCAAAATGAATTCCAGATGAATTAAAGCATTAAATACACAAAAATGAAACTGTAGTAATACTAGAAGTAAGCATAGGTGAATCTTAAAAATAATTTTTGAGTAGGAAGACCTTTTCAAACATGCCATGGAACCTGGAAACCATAACTGAAAGACTGACAAATAAGAAATATACAATTTAAACATTTTTCTTCAGAAAAGAATACCATAAGACACATAAAAAGACAACAAGCTGAAAAATATTTGCAACATACAATATAGATAAAAGTCTGATTTCTTTTTCATAAAAATCATTCTTACACAGCAAAATTTAAAACAGAGATGAACCAAGCAAAAATGGACAAAAGACAGGAACAGACAATTCACACACAAAAAAATACAAATGAAAACTAAACAAAAAGTTGTTTAATCTTACTCATAAAAAATTCACATTAAAATAGCATTGAGTGACCCTTCCTCACCTAATAAACCCACAAGTAAAAAGTTTGATCATACTCACTGCGGGCAAGGGAGTGTGGAAAAGACACTCTCCTACTCTGTTGGTGACATCTATAATTTTAGACTGCCCTTTGGGAGGACCATCGTCAGTCTGTAGCACAATTTAAATGTCCATGCTCTTTTACCCAGCAATTCCATTTTGAGGAGCTTAGCCTACAGATATGCTCAGAGAAGTGCACGAATCTGTATGTATAAGGATGTTCAGTGCAGAATTGTTTGTTAAAACAAAAGCTGCAACTAACCTAAAGGTCCATCTATAAGGGCATGTTCTGTAAATGTCAGTGCACCTATGCTGTGGGATACTCTACGGCTGTTGGGGAGAAGAGGGTGGGTTTGTAGGTGCTGATATGGAAAGATATTGCTGCAGATTTTATTATTGAGTGAAAAAAGCAAGTTGGAAACTGAATGTGGAGTATGTTTTAATACATTTAAGATGAAAAGTAAATAAATACATATGTTTACATATACATATGAATGTATGTCTGTATGAATAAAAGATTCATGCCCAAATGTGAAATAAATATTAATAAGGCTGAGTCTGGGAATTGAGATTGGGGCGTTGGAGAGAGTTAAGGAAGGGGGCGCTTACTTCCTACTGGATATTGTTAGGTTTTATCTGAATTTTTCTTTTTTTCCTTGGTAAGGAAGATTGGCCCTAAACTAACATCTGTTGCCAATATTCCTCTTTTTCCCTGAGGAAAATTGTTGCTGAGCTAACATCTGTGCCCATCTTCCTCTATTTTGTATGTAAGACACCACCACAACATAGCTTGATGGGTGGTGTGTAGGTCTGCACCTGGGATCCAAATCCATGAACTCTGGGCCACCGAAGTGGAGTGTGAACTTAACCACTACGCCCACCAGGCCATTTGAAGTATTTTTTGCATTGTATATTCCAAAAAATTTGAAAGGAAAATGACTGATTTCTTTATTTGTCCCTTGTTTCTGCACGCCACTCACTATAAGGGAACCTCCAGGAGAAACCAAACTTGTGACTGCTCCAAGCTGAGCTCTTGCATCTGACAAGGAACTCCTCACCACTTACATATCCAGCACCAATACGGGACCACAGATGATTATCATGGTTTAGTTCTTGTCCTCCTTGTGGCTTAATTCAATGAAATAGATGAAGCCTATCTGGGTCATGTTGCTGAAGCCATTTTGAAAACAGATCTCTGATCTTAGCCCTCTTATCATTGATTTTTAATTCCAGCTCCCTGTTGTTGATCCTCAGGAAACAGAAAACAGCCTTCACCTTTCTTTCCTTATAGCCCTTCAACTAATCTATGCACATCCTCTTGTTTTCTCCCAACCCCTACTTCACTACTTCCTCATTTAACCCTAATGTGCAATTTCTAAGGGTCTTCTAAGTGTCTTTTACGTATAACTTCAACAAAAAAATGGTAAGATGTCCGCCAGGACCACTGGCCATTAAGCTACCTTGGTCCTGCCTGGTCCACCCACTGGCAGGGCTGGTGAGTGGACGGATGTAAGCTTACATGCCTCCCTCTGCTCACCAAGCTAGTCCTAGAGGGCAATCTGCAGAGTATCAAGGATCCCAGGGATCTGTCTTCTAATTCTGCCCACTGCTGGCAACTGGTGGATGTGTATGAGAAAGAACCTCTCAAAAAATCAGGATGCTCTTCTCCCTTCTAAATGGCTTGTCACCAGCCCCTAAGAGCAACCGAAGATGACACAGTGGAAACCAGGTCTGGATCCAAACATCATCCAATAACCCATGAAGGATGGCAAAATATGCCATCCCAAAATATGCCACTTTGATATATTGATTATTTTGAGCTATGGGCACTTGAAAAACAGAAAATGCAGGGAGAAGCTTTCTCTGAACTCCCCTTGTCTGTCAAAAGACAGATCCTCCAAGAGGAACTCACTTGTCATAGATCCCCTCCCTGGAGGCTTCATCACCAAGGAAGATGACTCTTGTTGCAGGAAAGGACACTAGAAGTCAACATCACTCTGTGACAGGTGACATGAATGGAGTCATATAAAAATAGTGCCAGAACAGCCATTTCAGAGGAATTGCCTTGCATGTCTTGTTTTCTTCATCTTCCAAACTGGACCAAACCACCAACATTCCAAGAAGTCAGTAAGGACAAGAATATCTTGTCTGTAAGAACTGAAGGAACTGGACTTTGCTGATGACCAGATTGCTAACCAATCAATGAAGTACAAGTCTAGCCTTTTGCCTAATGACTGAATCTCAAGTCAATCCATGAAGTACAAATCTAACCTTACCTAATGTAGCACCAATGAACTCCTTTTTAATACAGCTCACCTCATCCTCCCTTCTTCCCATAAAAACTCTGAGCTCCTCTTCTGTAATTGCAACACTATTTGGGTTTCTACCTGAATCTGTGCTCCCTGAATTGCAATTCTTTGATCCTAAATAAATACTTTGCCTCTTAAACTGTTTCTGATTTTGTAAGTTGACAACTCCGAGATGGACTTTGTCACAAACTATCATACCTCCCATCTATTCTTCTAAGGACCCACTCATCTTTCCTAGAAATTGTTTACTCCTCGCTAAGAGGCCAACATCTCCCCTCCCCTTTCTCTATTAAGATAGTATTTAAGTCTGAATTTTAAAGCCACCTCAGAGTTTTGGTCATTTTTCCCTGGTTGTCTCCCATGTATATAGGAAGTATATATGCTACCAAACTTTTTTTCTTGTTAATCTGTACTTTATTATGGGATCTCGGCCAAGAATCTGGAAGGGTAGAGGGAAAATTGTTTTTCCTCCCCTACTCATGCCTGTCTGTCTCTCCTTGGCCAGGGTTAGGAACACCCTTCTTCAGGCCGCCCTTCCTCAGTCCTTGGGGCCCATCCCCTCCTATGCTGGGCCACAGGAGTTCCCTGGTGGGGACTCAGTGAATTGTCAGAGATTTAGTTTTTATTGATTGCATGTAGGGACTCTTTTTGTTTGTTTTAAATTATTTCATTGAGATCATATTGGCTTATAACATTATTGTATTTCAGTTTCTGTGTAGACTGCACAGTGTTCACTATGTAGGGACTCTTGAGCCAGGCCTGGAGGTCTAGTGGTTAAGGTTTGGCACTCTCACCGATGTGCCTGAGTTTGGGTTCGTTTCCGGTCACCGTACCACACCACCTGTCTGTCATTTGTTATATTCTGATGGCTTCTTGTTGCTGTGATGCTGAAAGCTATGCCACCAGTATTTCAAATACCACAGGATCACTCATGGGGGACAGGTTTCAGCAGAGCTTCCAGTCTAAGACACACTAGGAAGGAGGATCTGGCCACCTAGTTCCAAAAAGATTGTCCTGAAAACCCTGTGAGTAGCAGTGGAGCATTGTCTGACACAGGGCCAGAAGGTGAGAGGATGGTACCAAAAGACCCAGCAGAGATTTCCTGAGCTGTACACAGGGTCGCTAGAAGTCGGAATCGACTCCATGGCACTAACAACAAAGGGACTCTCGACTCATCATAATGGCATGAAGATTATTTTAAGCTAAAGACATCTGGACAAACAGCAGCTAAACTTCTTTTGCTGATTTAAGCAGAGCCTCCCAAAAATACAGCCACCATAAATTCCCTCTCTGGGGGGTTTACAGTCGGAAAGGAGACTGACCACTTGTACCCAGATGAGAACAAACATCGCAAACTATCAGACCTTCCATTTGTTTCCCTAAAAGCCCGTATTAGCTAAAAGTCTTCTTTTTCTTTAGAAGTCCTTTCTCCCTCTCCTTTTCCCCTATTATGCTGGTATATAAACCCCTGTCTTTAGCTGTTGTGTAAGCCACCTCTTTAATGCACTTCTATATGCATATGAATTAAACTCTGTCTTTTCTTCCATTAATCTGTTTTTTGTTAATTCACAGGCTGCCAACCATTGTGACCTAAGATGGTAGAGGAAAAGTTTTCCTCCCATCACTTGACACTAAAATTTTCCAGGAACTGTTATTTATAAAGTGTTGACATTGCATGGGGGAAATGCCAAAGTTACAATATTCAGTGAGAAAACCAGGTTTCCGAATTATTTATAAAGTCTTGTCATCATTGCACAAAACAAACGCAT